AATGGCAAAAGTTTACACTTGAGAATTTTAGAGCAGGAAATGATACCTATTTCAGAGAGGTTTTTTAAGTAAACCATACAAAATGGTAAAAGAATCAAAGAAACAAAGAAATTCTGCCTGAATAGAGAAGGAAGTAGTTAAGAATACCTACCAAAGCCATCTTCCTGAATCCTTTCCCTCTCTGAAAGTTCAATTTATCTAGCTTTAAATGAAAGTTAAAAAATAGGTGGAAAATAGAGAATTGCCCTTTCTAGTCTTCCCACTTTGTAATTTCTTTTTAAATAGCAGCTTTCAAATATCTTTTTTATAATAAATGTTTTATCTTGTAACATTTAAATTCTCATTTAAGGCAAACATGAAGTTCACTCAAAAGCAAGTTCCAATGTCAGAGACTAATTTTCCCAAACCAGACCTGTGCCACTTTTTGGAACAACAATAAATTCTACTTCCCAAGTAAAATACTTCCACATACTGTATTTAGTAAGAGACTAAATTTAGGCATCAAGAACACCCATGATGTGCTAAATTGAAATTTGGGGCTAATAATTCATGTCCATTTATTATTTTCAAACTATCTTGCCTCCTCAAAAATTATTCAATTGTTAACTTAAAATGAAAATAAGGACATAAACTTTCAATTAGAGCAAATTTAGCTTTTTCATCAGAAAATAGCAAGATCTGAATCTACATTTCAAATGGAAATTGAGATTTTTTGGTGTTGCACACATCTGATTCAGAGCAATCCTCTCCCAGGACACCATTTTTCCTGTCTTATTTTCTCTTCTTGAGAGAGTACTTAATAAGTAATTTAAAATTAAATTGAAGACAATTTCTGCACTGAAAAATCTCTATTAACCTACAACAAACATCATGCTTCAAGTTTTAGTTAGAATAAACTGAAAAAAGGACAATAAATGGCATATTTATTGCTCTAATCTCAGACTTCAAGGTACACTTCTTTCAGAAAGTAAGGGAACTAAGGCTTGTTTTTAATGGAGACAAGCTACATATCTTTAAATTTTTTTTAATTTTTATTTTTCAGAGACAGACTCTCACTAAGTCACCAGGCTGGAGTGAAGTGGTCACTCACAGTCATGATCATAGCACACTGCACCCTCTAACCCCCGAGCCTCAAGCAATTCTTCCACCTCAAACTCCCAAGTAGCTGGAACTACAGGTGTGTGCCACCACTCCTTGACACATAGTTTTTAATTAAGTCTTTCTAATTAAAAAGTCTGCAAAATTTTTTGTGGTGAAATAACAAAATAAAATTGAAATGTTAAGACTGTAGAATATCCACCAATTCCTTGTAGGACTCTAGCAGGTTTCCTAGAGAACTATCTGGACACCAGTGTAATGAACAGCTTCAGCTAGGCTGCTGTACCTTTTCTTTTTCCTCTTGAGTATGTTGTAAATGTCAATGCAAACCCTGCAAAAGGAGTCTTAAATTACAAGCAAAAAACTGGAAACTTGCTGACCAATAAATGACACATCTATACTGTAGAATAGTTATATGACAGAGGTACATACACAGGTAGATGAAGATGTGTTTGATGTTAAAATACACATTTATGCATATATATGTAAACATACTAAGTGATCCATTTTGTTCTAAAAAAAAGTTTTTATGTATCCATGCAAGTAAAGTTTAGAAGACGACAAAGTATTAAACATAGGTTACCTCTGAGCACTGAGTAAAGAAATGGGAGGAGCAACTTTTTTTTACAACTTTTAAAATTAAGCTAACAGATCCGTTTCTTCTTGACTGTAGCTACATAACCTTACTTAAGTTATAAGGCTGTAGCTAATATGCAAAATGGAGGTTAAAAGAATCTCTTCATAGAATTATTGAGGACTAAAATAAACTTAAAATGATGCATATATTCATAGTACAGGGCACATAGCCAATACTGAATGGTAGCTTTCTTATTATTTCTTCAGACAGTAATGAAATTTCTTAAGTGATAAATGTGGACATCATATGGAAAACAACTGGCAAACAGTCTTGCAGTTAAAACTACTGGAGAAAGCAAAAAGCAGCAGCAACGTAATGGTCTTCCTTGGCTATTAACAATGTTTTATCACATATAAGCTAACTTTGAAATTTTCAGTAAAATGTTTTGGTTGAGTTTACCCAAAGGCTTTTAAAAAGCCACAAATAGGTACATACTTTTCTGTGTATCTACTGAGAATTGAAAAATACTCATATCAGAAAGCTGCTGCACTTTCATTATTCCAGTGCATTTAGCTGAGAAGCCAGCTCATCAGCTAATAAGTATTTGACAAGCACAAACATATTTACAGGCATAATCATCACTCATCACATCGTTATTCGTAACAGCAAGAAATGGAAAAAACTTCATGTCCCTCAACAAAGGAATGTTTTAAGTTACAATATTAGCTATATTATGGAACATTATACAGGCATTAATAAGAATGAAATAGGTCTACTTGTCTTGGTATGTGAGAATGTTCATGATCTAAACTACAAAATGATATAATTCTATTTTTAAGAGTTAATGTAGGTGCATGCAAAAGATGTAGCTGAATACATACCTATTAGCAGTGATTATCTGAGATGGGTTTTGTTCATATTAAGTTTTACTTACTTTTTGTTTAGTCTGGTCTTATAGTTAGTATTTTAATTCTAAGTATTTTAAAAAATATACCAGCCCCAAGAAAAATCAGGACTTCTGTATTTTGTACTGCCCAGTAATATTGCTATTTTCTGTGGCTTAAAGTATAATCCAAATGTTACATAATATTACAAGTTTTAAAGTAACATATAGTAGAAATTACGTTTCTCAAGCTTCATTTACTCATTAAAGGAACTTCTTATTGGAAAAAAAATTTTCCATGTTTTCATTTGTAATAGGAAGCATGTAATAGAAAGCATAAGACAAAAGCAAATCAAAGTAACTTGCAATAAAACACTAAGGAAAAAGTGTTGTCCTACCCTTGGTTAGAGGCAATCTTAGTTGCTGTGTTTCAAAAGGCCAAAATAAGGTTAAGAGGAGGAAAAATGTCCCAATGATCACTCTTAAGATGATTGAATAAGCTGGTTAAATGGAGAAAGACACTTACCCTAAGTGCAAGTACTGTCTTTTTAGGTAAAATCCATACAGTCTAGATGTAGTTCTGCTCAAATTCCAACATCCAAATGCCTATTTGCAATCAGCAGAAGACACAGGCATACAAAATTTAACCTAAAATGCAAATTCTCAAAACTTAAGCACACTTAAAAGGTAAACTAAATAAGCCTACAAATCAAATAGCTGATACTGTCACTTCTGGTCTTGAAGAAGGTCATAAATGCAAAATTATCAAGTATCTGCAATCTTTTAGGTTTGCTTAAAACAAAAATTATGAAAATTATATTTGAATATGAAATGTTTCCAATCATTTAACAATGGATAAATGGGTGCAATCAGTATAGTCATTCTGATTTGATAGTTATCCTTTAACCATTTGAAAGTTGTTTTTTGTTTTTTTTTTTTTTGATACAGTATATTAGTACCAGTGAGAGCTTTTTAAATTACCTGAAACACTTACAGGTATTCCAAATCAAATAATCCAAAATGCTCCAAAATCTGAAACTTGACATTCAAAGGAAATGCTCATTGGAGCATTTTGGGCTTTACATTTTTGGATGAGAGCTGCTCAAATGGTTAAGTATAATGCAAATATTCAAAAACTGAAAAAAATCCCAAACTCAAAGCACTTCTGGGCCTAAGAATTTCAGATAAGGGATATTCAACCTGTATCGTCTTTAACAACCTTTCAAACCACTTTCAACTAACGACTACTGAATTTACACTTCAGAGAATGTAACTGCAAAAGATCTTCACATTAAGAAAGATGAAAAATAAAAGGTTCACTTTTATTTTGCTAATCCATCAAATTACATTCAAGAAGAATATAATTGAAAATTATATTCAACACTTACTAGGTTCTGTAGCACCTGCTCCCATGATCCGATCTCTTAAATCTGACTAATGTTCAGATAACTTTCAGAGGTGGAAGGAGTCAAAATATATAAGCAGTTGTTCCTCCTCCCCAAGTCCCACATGCCAAACATGTTTGCATATAAACTGACAAGAGGAACCCACAAATGACTAAATACCACTATGCTTTTGTCTTCACTAGTTTATAGCAATTTTAAGGGTAGACACAATAAAGTATTATTATACCATGAACAGAACACATTGCTTTCCTAATAAACAGAAAATACTTTTACATAACTCATTTGCAAACTTTAGAAGCCCCTGTTGGGAATATAAAATGACAATAACCTTATTAAACTGAAAACCCTGACAAAGGTGAACTAGAACTATTCCAATTGACCCATATCTTCCCACCAAAACTGAGTAAAAAAGTCAAGCAGAGTAGTATTTAACAATTTTAACAAAAAATTTCAGAGAATCATTTTCTGTATCCTAGAGGCCACTGTACAGCCACCAAAAAGCTGGACCAAATTACCAAATGAAGTAGTCCACATGTAGTATGATGTATATCACTAGAATTAAAAAATAAGACAGAAATTGATGGAAACTGTAGAACTATTTGAGAGCAAAGGATTTGACATGTTAATCACTTCAATGTGCAAAAGCATCCACCCCATTTGACCTAGAACACCATTTGTACCAAGCATCCGCTATCCTTTGCCAAAGTGAATACTGAGCAACCACAACCTGGCCTAATAATCTTAACCTTTCTCCACGCCTCTTTAGAAGTAGAGTCCTGGCAATCAGAAAAAAAAAAAAAAAAACTGGCAAGAACTAGACCTTAGGAATTGAACAGTAACAAGTTAAAAAAAAATGGTTCAGTATTAAAATATTCTTTTATTTTAAAGCCCAATAATTTTTCAGAAAGCTTCTTGGTATAGCTTTGAGCCTTCAACATATTTAAGTCCAATATTTACGTTAAATAACATCAAGTTAAGCATATTAAACATACTCTGAACCCACCCACCAGGTTACACATACTCTCACTCATTCATGTAAAGAATTGAATTCTTTATTTGTGATATCCATAAACGTTGCTATTCTATATTTCTATCCAGAAAGGCAATTTTCTCCTATTATCAGTTTTGTTCTTCTCTTATAAACAACAACTTGAATGCTATTGCATGAAAGGACTACAAATATACATTTGTTAACCAAGCACAATACAGATATTTTGCTTTACAACTTGCACCTAAAATACCAGTATTATGTAGTTGGTTCATTAGTTGTCATAGCAATTTAGGGCTATTGCCCAAGCTATGCATAGCAGTTTACATTTTCAAATCTCTTATAGAAAGGGTAAGTGTGATATGAACTGGCAACTACATTCCTGTGAAGCCCATCTCAGTTACAAGCAAACGTGTAACTTCCAAGTCTGCAAAGAATTTTGATGGCAAAACTTCTAAATCTGATGCAATTGTCCTAAAGTTTTTAAACGAATTGTTTCGCAGCTACTCTGCCATTCTGCCAGTAGATGGTGCTACAAAGACTGGGAAAAGGATTTCCATGAGGACAACAGTTCAGATACAGGGGAAAAAAAAAAAAAAAAAAAAACGTTTAAACCTGCTCTGAAAGTACAAAACCGCATTTGAGGGTAAAATATAACCCTTATTTTCAACCATTCATTACAGACAAACCAATAAGAGGGATGAAACTAGGCCATCTGAAAAATTTTAAACAGTTTATATGAATGACATGCTTAACACAAACTATATAGAACTACACAGTACACAGTTTGAAGTAAATTGTCATAGAAATGACCAATCATGACAAGATGATAAGCAAATCGCTTAGTACAAGAGATGGATGCACAGAAACTTAAAAGAGTTTAAAAAGCCACATCCACCACTTCAGAAGTTTTGCCTGTAAGGGATATAATTCAATACGCAACTAGCAGGGCAACGAGGGAAAAAAAAAAACCCACAGGACCTCTTAAAAGTTTCTCTAAGTACACATCAAGAATAAAGAATTAACACGTAAAATCTTAAACAAATATTCCTTAAAAACGATATGGAATGGATCCTAGAAAAAAAATGTTAGACATGTACGGTCAAACACAATGATTTATTAAAAATAAAACGTAAAAATGATTTTTGTACATATGCTTCCAAATTTCAGGCAAGGGATCCAAGTAGATTTCATAGAAAACGCCGTAGCCAGGTATCAAGTCCTTACAACAAAGTAAACTACCCCCCACCCCAACCCCCGCCCAGGTTTTGCTACAGAATCAGCAAGTTCACTCCCTCCCTCCCCCCAAAAAACACAAATTAAAACAAGACATTTTGCTAGTATAAAAACGACCAAGGTCCAAGTAATAATAAAAAAATAGAGTCCATCAATGACTGTAACACAAAAATGTGTATGTGGGGCCAAGTCCATCTTCAGAGGGAGAGACAAGAGAGGTGGCAGGCAAATAGAGGAACACCCCCAAGGGTAAGCAGCCTTAGAAGTGGCTCCCCTAAGGGCAAAACAGGGAAGGCGGTGTGAGGGGCTGGGGCTTAGGAGTTGACCCCACTTGGGCTGTCAAAAAGAGCTACCCCAACAGCCACTCCCAGGCATTTTATATTTTCTTTTAAAAGGAGCTGCCTCCGTAGCCACCCCCACCGCCATAGCCGCCTCTGTAAGGTCCACTATTACTGCGACCGCCCCAGCTGCTTCCTCCGCCGCCGCCGCCGCCGCTCTTCATGGGCCCATACGAGGACTGGTGCTGGCTGTAGCTGCCGAAGCCGCCGAAGCCGTTACCGTAGTCGCTCCCACCGTAGGACGAACCGCCGCCGCCTCCGTAGGCATTGTAGCCGCCGCCGCCGCCGCCGTAACCACCGTAGCTGTTGTAACCGCCGCCGCCGCCCTTGGAAAGGCCGTTCTGGTCTCGGCCACCGGCGCGCCCCCGGCCGCCTCGGCCGCCCCGGGAGGATCGGGAGCCGCCTCCACCCCCACCGAAGTGGATATCCTCCTTGGGGACCGCCTTCTTCACCTCCACGCGATGGCCCTGAATCGGATGGAACTTGACCACCGCGGCCTTGTCTGCCGCGTCGTGATTCTGAAAATACACGAAGCCGAATCCGCGCTTCTTGCCGGACAGCTTGTCGGCAATAATCTCGGCCTTTTCCACCGTGCCGAACTGCGAGAAGTGCTCGATCAGGTCGCCCTCGGCCACGTCTCCCTTAAGGCCCCCGACAAAGAGCTTCTTAACCTTGGCGTGGGCACCAGGCCGCGCGGAATCCTCCCGGGACACCGCCCGCTTCAGCTCCACAGTGTTGCCGTCCACGGCATGGGGCGAGGCGGCCATGGCGGCGTCGGCCTCCTCCACATTGGAGTAGGTCACGAAGCCAAAGCAACGGGAGCGCTTGGTCTGGGGGTTCACCACCACCACGCAGTCCGTCAGAGTCCCAAAGGCCTCAAAGTGGCCGCGCAGGCCCGACTCACTCGTCTGCACATTGAGGCCGCCAATGAACAGCTTACACAACTGGGAATTCTCCATCTCCACGGCCCGGGCCTTGCCCCCGCCCTGCGAGCTCCGAGGTTTCGCCGTCGCCGCCGTTATCGTAGGTTAAGGCCTCTACACAGCTTGGGCCCAGCCGTAGCTGGAGCCACCCCCGCCGGTCACCGACGGGGAAGGGAAAAAGGGAAGGGGAGGGAAGGAAGGAAGGAAGGAAGAGAGGAAGGGGGAGGGAAGGGGAGAGGTGCCGGCAAAAGGGCGAGCAGAGGAGACTGGAAGACAACCAAGGCCACCGCTACCGCCGCCACCACCTCCGCTCTCCTATCGGGGCACCACACAAAGAGGCCGCTGAACGCGCGCGCACCCTCCCCGAGGCGTGCGTCACCGCCGACGTACGGCCGCCGAGGGCTGCCCGCCAATCCCCGCCTCGCTCTCATTAATCCCGCCTACCGCGCCGCAGGGCCGCTCTAGATGACGGACTCCCCGCCCTCCGCGGTCTATTCAAGCCCGCCGCCTGTGCTGCTGCCGTCCCCTCTCCTGCCACCCCACTTTCATTCCCAGTTGCCCCTCTGTCCCTTGACATGGGTTCCTCCTTGCCCTCCGCACAGCGCCGCGATCCATTTCTTCCCGGCACCGCGGCTGTTCCCAAGGTTTCTCCCCCTCCCCTTTCCTCAACCCCTCGCCCAACTCCGCAGTGGCGTTCGCGCCAGCCCCTTGAGAGACATGTCAGTTCAGCCAATCACCGTGATCCCCTCGCACCCACTTCCGTTTTCGGCAGCTGTCGAACGGGCGCGCTCCCCAGTGCGCGCTTGCCCCGGCCCCCTCAGTATGCAGAGTCTGCGTGCCACCCCCGCGCTTTCTCCCGCCCAAGGCTAGGCGGGGGAGGGAGCAGGGGGCGCGCTGGGGGCCGTTCCCAACGGATGCGGCCTGGGGCACCACGCGCGGGCTTTTTGAAAACTTGACTGTTGGGGTTGGGGGCTCAGATCTACCCGATCCTCTCGGCTCGTCTGCTACACCTGGCGTCCCCGCCCCTCCTCTCGCCGGCACAAAGATGGAGGGCAAATGCCTGGTCCACGAAGGCGGTTATTAACCGTTTACAGTGGGCCAGGCTTGCTGTTAAGCTAAAACTTTAACACGTGGCCCTGCGCAAAGGCGAGCCCGAGGCGGCGGTGTGAAAGACAACGGGGAACCAAAAGAGCTTCTTCAGACATTACGACCCAGACGAGGCGCGACATCTCTGCCACCCTCCTGCCATCCTTGAAGCCCTCCCGCGATGCCCTCAGAGGCCCTTTCAGCTCCCCTTGACACTCCAGCAGACATTTTTATTCAACCTCAGTGAATTTTTTAATGTACAATTTACATCATCCATGTGTTGCTTTCTTTCAACTAGAATGTTAGCTTTTTTTTGAAACGGAGTTTCGCTCTTGTTGCCCAGGCTGGAGTGCAGTGGCGTGATTTGGGCTCACTGCAACCTCCACCTCCTGGGTTCAAGCGATTCTCCTGCCTCATCCTCTTGAGCAGCTGAGATTACAGGCGCCCACCACCACCCCCGGCTAAGTTTTGTGTTTTAGTAAAGACACGGGTTCCACTATGTTGGTCAGGCTGGTCTCGAACTCCTGACCTCAGGTGATCCATTCACCTCAGCCTCCCAAAGTGCTGGAATTATAGGCATGAGCCACCGCGCCCGGCCTAGAATGTTAGCTTTTTAAAGGTGTTGGTTAGACGAACGTTTTACAGAGAGATCCAACACCCCTAAGTCACTGCTTTTAGTGCCCTCAGGTGGGAATAGAAGATTATAACGGCTTACATTTATTGAGCCTTTGTGTGCCATGCAAGATACATGGGGTGGGACATAGTTAATATGAGGCATTACGTGACCAGAAGCCTCCAAAACCATATGGTAAAAGCTGAATAAGTTAAGAGGAATTCCTCACAGTGTCAAGTATTCAGGAAAGATTTAGGAAAGAATTAGAAGTTCCACTGAACCTCAGAGTCAAAGACTAGTTAGTATCCTAAGCAAATCAAGGCCAGAACAGAAAACCAAATACCACAAATTCCCACTTATACTACACATTGAGTATACATGGACATAAAAGGAGGGAACATTAAACACCAGGTCTTTTTTTTAGGATGGAGGGTGGGAGGAGGAGAGGACTGAAAAACTGCCTATCAGGTATTATGGCAATGACTTGGGTGACAAAATTATCTATACACCAAACCCCCAAGACAAGCAATTTACCCACATAACAAACCTCCACACGTATCCCTTGAACTTAAAAGTTGGAAAGGAAAAAAAGAAAAGATTTCTACAGGGAGTTTATTTGAGCAAAATCCAGAGGGCACATAAGATTCAAGACACAGGGAGTGGACCAGTTAGTTTGACCGGAACCAGCAGTTTTAGCTAGAAAACAGGAAGAGGTGAGATAGGTTGAGGGTCTTTGATACTATGAAATGATACTATGGAATGTCTTGAATCTTAGGTTAAGTAGTTTGGATATTATTACAAAGGCATATAGAAGGGCTAAGGTTTGAGGGTAAACACACTGGTGTATCACTTACCCTGTAACCCTCTAGTTGTGTGACTTTGGGCAAGTTACTTAACATTTTTTAAAATGTAATCAGTTTTATTATCTTCAAATGAGAATAATAAAACATCTTTCTGTTGTGAAAATTAAATGAGATTCTACATGTAAACATGTATGTATATGTGCCTGGCACATAGTAAGTTCTTAGTTTATCCAATTATATGAATCCTATGCCTGGTGCTGGGAATATAGCTGTAAACCACAAACTTCTGCCCTCATGATGCTTACATTCTAGAGGAAGAAGCAGACAATAAGAATGGTATACGGCATGTTAGTGATAAATGCCATTTAAAAAAAAAATGAAAGGAGAGTAGAAAGCTATAATCTTATTACCAAAAAAAACCCCTCAAATGTCAGGAATTGCCCATTGATAATAAAGGGGGAAATGGACTGGGCACAGTGGCTCACACCTGTAATCCCAGCACTGTGGGGGGCTGAAGCAGGCGGATCACTTGAGGTCAGGAGTACAAGAACAGCATGGCCAACAAAGTGAAACCCCGTCTCTACTTAAAAAAAAAAAAGCCAGGCATGGTGGTGTATGCCTGTAGTCCCAGCTATTTGGGAGTCTGAAGCAGGAGAATTGCTTGAACCAGGAAGCAGACACTGCAGTTAGCTGAGATGGCACCATTGCACTCTAGCCTGGGCAACAACAGTGAGACTGCATCTCAAAAAAAAGGAGCCGGGGGTGAGTTGTGGGAGGGAGTTGCTGGGGGAAGCATGACCATGTTTGAAAACCTAGAAGCCTAAAATTGCAGCATGGTAGAATTAGAAAATCCAAGAAAAGGAAATGTCTTGGGTGGGGGGTTAGGGAAGATTATGAACATAATTGTAAATGCTTAAGGTAATAATGAGATATTCATGGGGCAGTGCTTTTTTGGATGCACAAGACTATAACTCATTTGGGAGATTACACATTAAGAAATATATTTTAGGCCAGGCACAGTGGCTCACGCCTGTAATCCCTGCACTTTGGGAGGCTAAGGCAGGCAGATCACTTGAGGTAAGGTGTTCAACATCAGCCTGGCCAATATGATGAAACCCATCTCTGCTAAAAGTTAAAAAATTAGCTAGGCGTGGTGGCTAACCTGTAGTTCCAGCTACTTGGGAGGCTAAGGCAAGAGAATCACTTGCACCTGGGAAGTGGAGGTTGCAGTGAGCACAGATCACGCCACTGCACTCCAGCCTGGGCAACAGAATGAGACTTATTCACAAATGGGTGGTGGATCCATTCCTTCCCAGTTCAAGGTTTTTGTGTGTGTGTGATTGGGAAGTAAAGCTCAAACTCTTTTGAAAGCTGAGATAGGTGATCATGCACCAGCTGGGAGAAAGAAGGCATTGGGTCAGTCGCTTTGAAAATCTCTGCTAATGTTTGAAACATGTCAGCAATCCCAAAGTTCCCTCATCGCCCCCATAATTCCAGTTTAGTTTTGAATGCAGCCCCTTTATCTGCTAATTTGAACACAATTGTCGTTCTCCCCTGAAATGACAGATTGAATTCATTGAGCAGGTTGAATATGTCACACAAGTAAGCAAGTTTTGCCACCTATTCTGTCATTAAAATGCATTGCAAAGGAAATCTCTGGAGTAGCTCTCATAACTCAAAAACTCTGGTCAGTGATCTACCTTTAGAAAGCCATCTCACTTCCTATATACATCTCACAGAGTTACACAGACATGAGTTAAGGGCATGTACTTAATTGTTGTTGATAATTTTTCTTTTTTTTGAGACGAAGTCTCGCTCTGTTGCCCAGGCTGAAATGCAGTGGTGCGATCTTGGCTCGCTGCAACCTCCACCTCCTGGGTTCAAGCAATTCTCCTACCTCAGCCTCCCGAGTAGCTGGGACTACAGGTGCGCACCACCACATCCGGCTAATTTTTTTCTATTTTTAGTAGAGACGGAGTTTCGCCATGTTAGCCAGGATGGTCTCTATCTCCTGACCTCATGATCTGCCTGCCCCAGGCTCCCAAAGTGCTGGGATTACAGGTGTGAGCCACTGTGCCCGGCCGATAATTTTAATCATATCCTGCAAAACGTTAAGTTCAAGTGACATTTTTCGACTAGGTAGGATTTCTCTGTGGATGACACAGTGCATAGACTCACATTCAGAAGTGACCTCTTTGACCTGAGTAGTGAAACCAGAAAGCCATCCAGTCATGTCAGCCACTCTCCCTGTGCATATACCAACACAAGAAAACCAATTCCATTTTCCTGATATGTAATCATTCAAAGTCTTGAGTAATTCTGCACCTATGGTGTTGATTGGCAACAAAAGTGCCATTAACACATTCCCCCTGCACATCATCCTGAAAACTATATAGCACAAAAACAAGCATTGTTGCCTTTTTGTCAACATCGTTAGACTCATCAACCTGGACTGAATACCATGGTGACTCATTAATCCTCTCTGACAATTGTGCCTCAGTATCCTCTGCTATTTCATCAATTTGTCTAGTTATGGTACTAGCCGAAAGAGAAACACGTGCCACCATTTGAACTTCAGCCTCTCCTAAAAGTTCACCATAATGTCCTTAGCAGCAGGCAAGAACAACTCTTCACCAATGGTGAAGGGCTTCTGAGCTTTAGCAATGTAGTTAGCCACTAAGAATGATGCCCTCAGTGCAGACACATTTGATGAAGTGGTGGCCTTCAATAATTGCTTCTGTTCTTTTTTTTAATTATTATTATTATTGAAACCAGGTCTTGCTCTGTCATCCAGGCTGGAGTGCAGTGGTGCAATCTCAGCTCACTGCAAACTCCACCCTCCTGGGTTCAAGTGATTCTCATGCCTCAACCTCCTGAGTAGCTGGACTATAGATCCATACCACCATACTAGGCTGGAATGTTAGATTCTTTTTGGAGATTAGATCAGTAAAGTTAGGGATAGTCAATAAAAGAGTATGTAAACACTTAAATGATGCAGTCAATTTCCTACTCTTTAGGTCAATAAGGGCAAAAATTATTTTTTTTCTATTTTGCCTTTTAGATCATCATCTGCATTTACTTTGTTTCTTTCACTCACTTACAGGTGTCTCAACCTTCCAAAATAAAACATATAAAAATATAACTGAAATTCAGACTGCCTTTGGCTTCCATTTCTTCTGCAAGCTTGATTAC